AATCGCGGACGACGCTGCTTGGTCGAGTAGACATGAGCCTCATCCTTGTTGAAGGACCATACGCCGTCGGCGAGCAAGGACGTGGCCGGGCGCTCTGCAGCATCTTCAGAGCGTGACTGCTTGGGCCAGGCTTCTCCTTGATGCGACTTGGCCTTGGCAAAGGTCTCGGAAGCGGTACCTTCGGTGTGCTGTTGTGTAGCGAGCTCAGCGTCGAGCATGGGGAAGATGCCTGCCTCGTGCAGGACGATGCGTGCCAAGCTGACGCGATCGTGGCGACCGGCGAGCGAGAGGGCTTGCAACTGCAGATCTTCGGAAAGCTCCAAAGCGGTGCGCGAGCCCCAGTTCGTCTTTGCTGGCAGAGCGTTGGTCTTGGTCTCGGTGACGCCTGCATACTCGATGACGATGCGTTTTGCCTCGAAGCCGACGCCACGGGCTACCTTGTCTTGGATGCGGCGATCCGTGCCGCCGAGGTGTGCTATTGTGCGGCCAATGGACACGTAGAGAGACAGCCCGCCAGGCAAGCGCTCCACCAGTGGTTTGGCCGTATCATCGCTCGCTGGAGGAGCGGCGGCATCCGCAGGAGCCTCACCGCTTCGGCCGTCCGTCTCGTTGGCCTTGGGGGCACGTTTTCGGGCCTGCGTTGCTTTGGTGATGGCAGCACCAATATCGGCGTAGGTCTCGAGCGCAGGCATCTGCCACGCTTCGATGTCAACGTCCTCGATGTTGGCTCTGAACTCGGCGACGGCATCTGGCGCAGACAAGGTGGGGATGTCGCTGTGGAGAGGAGAGCCTCGAGGCTCGGCGCGTCCCGGAATGCGACCAGAGCCGAGCAGCTCGGCACTGTGAAGAGCGAGGAGATGATACTGCGTGGTCCCAGTCGCTGGACCGGCTTGATCCTTGGGCGGCCTGGCGAATGAGCTCGACGAGCCCTGCGAACCACTGCTGATGGTGAGGAAGGACTCGACAGCGTCGACACGCAGTGACGTCTCGAATTGGTATCGAAGGCTGAAGTAGGTCTCGGCTGCCAAGCTCGATCCTTGGCTGTAGCCAGGGGTGCGCACTTTGCCGGTCTTTGCCATGGTGTCGCGGAGCGAAGGTCGACGCGTTGTATCTGACGGTCTGGGTGATCCGTTTTCCATTTGCTTCTGCATCTCGTGCATGCGCATCAATGTCTCGTGCATTGTGAGGCCGGTCTCGGCGTACCGTTCAGCCGGATGGCTTGACGCTTGTGACGTCGCAGGTGCAGAAGGGGTAACGGCTGGTTCCGTGAGAGTGACGCCTTGCCTGACTTTATCGATGCTCTTGCGCGCATCGCGGGCTGGTTTGGCAGCTGCTGTCCCTGCGGCACCGCTGAGTGGCCATTCGAGGCTGTCGGTCCTGAGCGCCTTGTAGGCAGCTCGCTTTTCGGCAGCAGGTCGCTTGACATACTCGTCCCTGTATTCGCCCGAGAAGACAAAGTCGACATTTGGCACCGTCAAGGTGAACTTGCGAGAGGTCTGCCCTTGCAAGCCTTCCTGTGGGTCTGATGGCGGCTGCGTTGAGCCTTCTGTCAGCTTGTCCTGGCTGGCATCCAGCAAGAGCGAGATGCGCTGGATGTGAAAGCCGCCTGCGATGCGGGGAACGCGTCGAAGACGCTCAAGATCAGTTTTGGGACGGGGTGGCTCTTGGATGCCGACTTGTACGCGCTTGTTCCGCCGTCTACGACCAAACTCGTCGGCGATGGGAATGATAGCGGTGATGTCGTTGAGGGACACGTCGGTCTCGATAGCACCAATGGCAGCCTCGATGACGGCGGCATGCTCGTTCGGATCGCCGTGGAGAATGTGGCGAGACACTTCGGGGCAGGCAGCAAAGAGACCGAAGGGGGTCCAGGAGGATCTGGCGACGACGGAAAGGTCGCCAACCGAGAGCAATCGAGAGCCGCGACCGCGTTCGCGAGAACCACAGCGGACATCCACGCTGGCGAGGTTGAGCTCTGTGAGGAAGATGCGCCGATGCTCGATAGCCTTGACACCGCGTGGTGGAAATTTGGGTTGCTTCCGATGTGGCGGCTTGGCGGCTTTCAGCTTCTTCTTACCTCGACCGCTTTTACTTGCCGAAGACTTGATGGGCAGGCCGCATGTGCCGAGCCAGCGACGATGGAGATCATCGTCTTGTTCGCTGTCCTTGAGCTCGAGGTTGAAGCCCGTGAGGGATACGCCAAGCTCCCTCGACGGCAACGCGACGTCGGTGGTATGCGGATCAGCCGAATCGTCCGCGCAGTGCTCTATTGACGATAGAAGAGCGTCGGAAGAGGCGGTGACGCGTACGGAGGGCAAAGAGAGTGCCACGGACGAGATCATGCGCAGGGCTTTGGCGGCAGCCGAGGGACGCTGTTGCACGAGGTGTTTGGAAAGGACGGAGCGCTGGTCGGTGGGGCTGTCGTTGTGCTTTGGCGCCCATCCGGATCTTCGTGCTTTGCGCTCTTCGACGATGCACATGACGCGGTGAGCTGCATCGAGCCCGACAGAGATGTTGCCGAGCACAAGTCGAGCGGCCAAGGTGCGATCTCCTTGTAACGCAAGATTGGAGCCGACAAGCAAGCTTGCTGTGAGCTCGGTGAGGCCCGAGATGGAAGCGATCCTGGCTGCAGCTGGGATGGCCTGGAGCCGTTGCTGCGACACGCCTTGGTCCAGGTGCTGTCGAGTCCAGCCGGAATCGGCGTGGAAATCGGAATCGACCAGAGGCTCCAACGCCCAATCGGCCCAGCGGTCGGCAAAGGCTCGCAGCGGCGCTGACGGCGGCTTGGACGAGAAAATCTCGCTCGTGTCACGCGCGTGCTTGGGGCGAGAGGGATGCGAGGACCAGTCGAGGCTGTCGTCGTAGGTGGTTGCTGCTGCATCGAGATCCATGTCTGACTGGGATGGTGACAGGACGCCGCGACCTGCATCAGGCTGCCGTGACGGCGTTGCTGTGGGTGTCGAAGGCGAAGCGCCGTCTTGCTGAGACTTGAGGCGGGATGAGGGTTGGGACATGGCCTCGGGCTTGAAGTTGGCCTCAAACAGGTCGATGCTGTCGATGCGCAGATGCGCGGCGATGGTGCTGGGCGAGATGCCGCCGACAAGGTAGGTGGCGACGTCTCGGGCGCCGGAGCCTACTTTGGTGGGCATGCTTCGCATGGCGTCGGAGAAGTTGGACCACGTTGGCGCTTGGAAGTAGGAAGTAACGCGATCGGCATCGTCATCCGAGCCGTCTTGCACATCTGATGGGCTTGGGATCGAACGACGCAAGCCGGAGGACATGGAAAAGGTGAGGCCGGCACGACGGATGCGAGCGACGGCTTCGGCTTCCTGGACGTAGACCTCGATGTGATCGACCTCGATGGAGACGAGGGAAGTGAGGACGGGGACACTGGAAGTGAGGACGAAGAGCGCAGCTCGAAAAGCACGAAGCACGATGCTGCGTACGGCAGGGAATGCAGCACAGCGGAACCAGTTTGCCATGCGCAGGACCGAGTGGATCGAGATGAGGCCGGCTCGGTAGCAGGTGAGATAGAGGAAAGAGCCCTGTGGTTGGTCAGATGTCTCAACAGGCTGAGCGCCATCTCGACCGACCGAGTCGGCGGTGGCAGACTGAAACGAGGAAGAGAAGGAGCGCCTGTCTCGGAGCGAGGGCGACATGGGAGGGCTGCTCATGAGCTGTTGAAGTCGAGCCTCCTCCTGCTGTTCAGGAGTGATGAGGTTGGTCGCATCGCCGCCAGCGGAAGAAGCCGTCGAGGGCGTTTTGGAAGATTGGCGAGCATGGTGCTGTGATCGAGGAAGACGCACGCCGACGCCTTGAACGTGGACGGTGAGGATAGCACCGCTCGTGCGTGGCACCACGTTGGGGCATCGCCTCTTCGTGCTGAGAAAGTAGGGAAGGTGGAAGGAGGCGTAGAGCCGCTGCACTTTGATTTCGAGCTGATCCTCGTGTTGCGAGAAGGCAGCCGAGTCGTTGTGGAAGCCTTTGGAGCGATACTCGATGCCACGGATGCCGCGAATGCCAGCACGGTTGATGCGAAGCTTGCCGCGGAAGAGGATGCGTGGAAGGCGTGGCAGGACGGAGCGAAAGAAGAGCGCAGTCAACAAGAGACCGAGCAGGAACGGCCACACGATGCTCCAGACTGTGTATGGAGCCGACGACATGATTGCTTGCTTGCTTGGCCGGTCTGCGCTGCTTTGCAGAGGACGAGGATGTACGGCAAGGTGGACAGCAAGAGACGTCTAACCAAGTTTGGCGTGCATCGTGACAGCGTTGCTGTTCCAAGTCAAGTCGGTGCCGTCGTCGATCGTTGTCCAAGTCGGACTGCTGCCTCGTTCGATCCTTTCGAGCGCGCCTTGTGTGTGTGATGGTGGTGGGAGAAGAGGGAAGGAAGAATGACAAACGAGTGTGACCTTGTCGAGGGCAAGTCAGTGAGTGACCAAGAGCTGAATTTTAGCCATCAAAAGCAAAATTACTCCGAAATGCTTACTCTTCTGTCTCGTGTGCTGCAGCTGAGACGCGAGAGAGGGGTCCCTGATGACCGACCAGCCACTTTTCTCACACTCGTCGGATGTGGGCCGTGTTGTCTCTCGCTAAGCGACTAGCAGATTGAGCATCTGCTCTGTGACTGTGCCAGATGGGGCGTGGTGTTGCCACGGTCCAGACGGTCCACGGACGTGCCGAAGTGTGGAGTCGATGGGCCGTCGGTGCATCCGGTTCTGGGCTGCGAGCGTGTGCTCATGCTGCAGCTCGCAACAGCCCGACGCGGAATACCCGATGTTCTGCAAGGAAAGCCGCACGGGACCTTTTTTTGTTTTTTGTTTTTAATTTTAATAAATGGAAAAGCATTTCTTCCAGGGTGCAGCAACGTGGCTCCACCAAAAACGCAGTTCAACCTGCACACATGCAACCACTTGATATCAAGAACAACTTCCCCACCATCCCCACCATCCCCACCATACCGGTGGGCTTGTCGATCGTCACCAAGCAAGGAAAAAGGGAGGTCATGCTGGGATTCGAACCCAGGTAACCTGAACGCTTTGGAGCGGCACCGTTGGAGGCTGGATGCTGGTCAAAATCAGGAATGTTAACCACTACATTACACAACCGTTGGTTGCCGCCGCTGCTATGCGAGTCAGTGTGGACAGTAGGTTGTACGGCTAGCTACGGATGAGCCACCCTTTCGGACAAGGTGACTTGTGCATCGATGCGGGTTGAGGCTGTCGAGGCAGGTCATCAGCGGGACAAGCGTGTCGTCAGCCTCGAAACGGCTCGGGATTTGGAGTCAAGCTTCTTTTATTCAGCTCGAACTCACCCGCAAACCCATCTTGTCGATTCGACTCGACTCGTCCACCTCTGCTCCATCCCTAGGCGACCAGGATGGTCGGCCCAACAACAAGCAACAAAGCGGAAGAGCTGCAACACCAGCTCCAGACGCTCAATGTGCTCGAGTCCGAGCTCAAATCATTGAAGCCCGACGCGGTAAGTGAGCCCAGTTGACGTGCCTCTTACACATCCAACGACAGCCTATTGACACCACTGGGCTGCCTGTCCCGCTCACTCTTCGCATCGCATCGCATCGCATTGCGACAACAGAACGTGTACAACTCGATTCCGACGTCGCTCGAGGCTCGCGTGATCCCGCATGCACACGCGCAAATGGCGCTCTTCCCGAATCTGGATGTCAAGACGGCACTGCAAGACGTGCAGAGTGAGTCCGGCCCACCCACAGCTCCCTTGACCATCATCCGCTTGTAGCACTGACCTCTGATCCGGGCTTCTCTCCTCGGCATCGACTCGGCTCCCGCAACCTTAGGACAGAGAAAGGTGCTGTTGGCCAATCTTCAACAGCTCGCCAACTAAACAAATCCATACCCAAGCCAAGCATTGTTCACTCGGCTCCTCTTTCCACTCAATCTCCTTTACGCTGGAACAACAAGGCTTGCTGTGACTCGCTATGGCTCGACTGGATGTGTATGAGAATCGTCTGTGGTCGATGGTGGATCTTGTGAAGAGCTGGTTTGCGGCGGTTGAATTTTCTGGATTTCATGTCATGACGCAGGTGGAGTTGCTGCTTGTTTGCTGTTGGGCCGTCTCCGCTTTCAGCTGGCCCTGCCGACGCTTACCGTGTGCAGACAGCCTTGGCGAGCCAAAAAAGCGGGAGACGCGGATCAAGAGGCCGTGTGAGAGATCATTCGTTCTTCTCTACACACATCACCTTGGACACCATTTCCCCAATCCCCTGTCGCCTCTCCCCCTCTGCCTCTCTCCACACTCTCTGCAAGGAAGCTACGGAATCACATTCCCTTTAGAAATCGGATCGCGCGCGCGCTGGACCCGCAATGTATCGGCAACTCCCGAAGCTCGGCCTGCGATCCCGTTCGGCTCGTCCGGCTACGCAGTGGAGCTCGAGCTCGAGTCGGCCCACTCCCGTCGCATCACGCAATGTAACCCGATCGGTGACAACGCGACCCGACCACTGCGCCACCCGCTCTTTCTCGTCACATTCCCGACTCAGCCTGCGAGCATCTGGCTTACCCAACGCAGCAGAAGCGGCGAGATCCGCCACAGCCACGTCAGCCTCTGCCGCAGCATCGTCGTCGTCGTCCACCACCACGAGCTACTCGGACGGCGGTCCAGCTACGCCTGGCGTCACCACCGATGCCAAGTCGCGGTCGGTCTACATCACGTGGGCCAGCGGCATCACGAGCAAGTTCCACAACCTCTGGCTGCGCGACCACTGCCGATGCGCGCAGTGCTACCATCCGACCACCAAGCAGCGTCTGCTCAACACGTTTGAGATCGCGCCCGATGCTCAGCCTATTTCTGCCGAAGCCACTACAGAGGGGCTGCTCGTTCAGTGGCCGCTGCTGCCCTCGGAACGCGCTGCCACTGCTTCGTCGTCTTCGTCTGCGACGACCACCGCCTCGGATGCCGCTTCGCACGACGCAGCCGGCGCCGGTGTCGCAGCACAGCACACCTCGCTCTATCCATGGCGATGGCTCATGCGCAACTCGTACTCTCCGCTGCTCTCGGATCCCATCACTGCCTCGAGCGACGAGTCGGGCCTCGAGGCCATCGAAAAGGTGCTCTGGGGCAAAGGCATCGGCTCAGCACCACCCACGGTCAAGTACGACGAGGTCATGCAGAGTGAGCAGGGTGTGCTCAAATGGGTCACAAAGATCGCACAGTACGGCTTTGCCTTCGTCTCAGGCGTCCCGCCCACCCCGACCGACACGGAAGCGCTCATCCGGCGCATCGCCTTTATCCGCGAAACCCACTACGGCGGCTTCTGGGACTTCACCTCGGACCTCGCGCACGGCGACACCGCCTACACGGACCTTGCGCTGCAGGCACACACGGACACGACGTACTTTAGCGACCCTGCCGGCCTGCAGATGTTCCACCTGCTCAGCCACACTGCCAGCAAGACCGGGTGCGGCAGCGGCTCGGCGGGCGGCAGCAGCGGTGGCGCCTCTTCTCCCTCATCGGGCACGTCGGCATCCGCGCGCGGTCCGAGCGGCGGCGAGTCGCTGCTCGTCGACGGCTTCCTCGCCGCCGCCGTGCTCAAGGACGTGCACCCGGACGCGTACGACACGCTGAGCCGCGTGCGCATCCGCACGCACTCGGCGGGCGACGAGAGCACCATGATCCGCCCACTGCTCGACGGCGGCTACCCGATCCTGCAGCACGACGACGCGACGGGCGAGCTCGTGCTCGTGCGCTACAACAACGACGACCGCTCCGTGCTGCGCGTCGACGCCGACGACGTCGAGCCGTTCTACGACGCGCTGCGCAAGTGGCATCACATCCTCACCAACCCCGAGGGCGAGTACTGGGTGCAGCTCAAGCCGGGCACTGCGCTCATCTTTGACAACCACCGTGTGCTGCATGGCCGCTCGGCGTTCGTGGGCAACCGCAGGCTGTGTGGCGCGTATGTGAACCACGATGATTACAGGAGCAGGCTGGCGGTGCTGCGCGCGCAGTTTGCCGAGAACAGGGCGGCCAGGGGCGTCTGGGATGATGGGCTGTGAGGAGGGTCAGAGAGGCTGCGATCGGCGGGCGGGGCAAAGTAGCGATGGAGGAGCACCAGCCCGTGGATCGGCCCTCTCCCTCTCTCCCTCACTGCACCCCTCACACACTCCCATCCCTAGAAAGCCTCCCTCACGCACACACAGCACACCCCACACCCCACAAAGACACAATCAAATACAATGACACCATACAGTACAGTACACCCCTATCAAACAGAACCCAAAACCCAAAAACCCAAAACCCAAAACGATTGCCCCTTAACACGCCGAAACCCCCGGAACCCCCGCGTCCACGCCAACGTCACCACCAGACCTGCGCCGCAACGCCAGCAACTCGTGCCTCAACTTGCGATTCGCATTGTGGAGCCGCTGCATCTCAATCAACCACGAGCCGGCATGGAAGCCCGTGAGCTCGGAAAACACCGTACTGGCTGCATCGTTGGCTGTCATCACAGGGACCGCCGTGCCGTTGGGCTGGAACGCCGAGCCGGTCAACGAGCCGCTGCCCGTCTGCGTTTTGGGCGGCGCGTCGCGCTCCGACGCCTTGCGCTTGGCGGGGACGGTGGGCGCGGCCGACGATGCAGGGCTGTGTGGCGCGGACGAGACGGCGCTGCTTGTCGACGCGGGCTGCTGCTGCACATGCACAAACGAGACGGCGTTCGAGCGGCCGTTGGACGTCCACGGGTAGACGGTGAGCTTGACGGGCGCCTTGTGGCCCGCCCGCCCCTCGTAGTGGTCCTGCACCGAGATGCACCGCCCGCTGCGGAGCGCATCGAGCAGATCCGACGAGCTCGTCACCATGGGCAGATCGCGCACGTGCCTCCCGAGCAGGTTGACGTCTTCAATGCCCAAAATCTGCTGGATCGGCCCCGTTGCGCCCAAGAAAATGCCGTTGTGCGAGATCTTGAGCCACGCCGACAGCTCGACATGCAGCAGGTCCTGGCGCACGTCGTTCCACGGCAGCATGGGCACGGGATGCGGCCGCCCCGAACACACCACCACCTTGCGATGCTTGGGCAGATCGACCGACACGCGACCCGTCGTCTCGATCAGGCTGAACGTGCCGTCCTTGCACGCCATACGCATGATCAGGTCGACGCGACGATGCGCCTTCACCGCCGTAGCATTGTGCGCGTCCGGCCCATCGCCTTCGCCCAAGGGCAGCGTGATGGCCTCCTTGAGCTCGCGCGAGAAGGGCCCGATGTCGGCCGGGTGGCTAAAGTCGACGAGCGGCCGTCCGATGATCTCTTCCGGATGGAAGCCCAGGATGCGTTGGACGGAAGGCGACATGTAGAGCACGGTGCCCTTGAGCGAGAGGACAAAGACGAGGTCGTGCGAGTTGGCGACGACGGCATCCATCCACGAGTCGAGGTCGTCGACCGAGACGGGCATGCCGAGCGGTTGCGAAGCGGACGAATCGGTGCCTGCGGCCGCACCGACGCGGTAGGGCCGACGCACCTTGGGCAACGGCGTCTTGGGCGTCTCGGGCGAAGATGCACGAGACGGCTTGGCCATGTGGCTCATACGACGTCGTTGCTGAATGGTAAGGCCCTTGTCTTGATGAGTACGAGCCGCGTCATGGAGCAACGCGTCCGGACGACCGATGGAATCGGCATTGAGCACCGATCGACCGAGGCTAGATGCGAGCGAACGTGGACCGGGATGACCCGCATTGACAATGTTGCTCGCTTTCACCAGGTCAGCCAAGTGCGCAGCATGGTCCGAGGCGATGTTGGAGTGGTAGCCGGTGAGGGTCGAGTTGGGAACCAAGGGCGAGGGCTGCGACGCGAAACTGGCGGGGCTGAGCTGCGGCGTGGATGCGGCATCCTTGGGCACGTCGCCAAACTCGACCATGTCGCCCATGGGAATGTGCGTCGGAGCAACGGTGCCGAGAGGATGCACCATGTCGTTCTGCAGACTCTGTGCGTCCGAGGGAGTGGTGGTGCTGCCGCCGTTGGCGAGGCTGGGTAGCATATGATCGGAAAAAGCGGGGTACACGCTGTTGACGTTGTAGCTGGCATCGGACGACGGCACTGCGGCGGCAAAGTCGGAATGCAGCGGCCAGGCAGGGGCAG